AGATAGAGATTGACGTGTATTGTATTTGTATCCTATAAAGGTATGGACTATAGAAGAACCTATGGTTATTAAAATAATTGTAGTGTATATTTTATTTAGAAAAATTAATTGAGAGATATATCTATGCACTCTATCTCTATCATGCGTGTATGGGGATAGAGCAAAGTAAGCTTTAAAAGTATATGAAATTAAATGAGAATAAGACACATATATGAGATAGAATTTTTTAGGGTGAATAATGTGTCACGTGGTGATGCACCTTTCTTCATGCAACCCACCACAATAGTTTGGCTTTTTTTTTATTAATGTTAAAAGATGAATGAGAAGTCTCTTTGAAACCTCTTCCAAAAGAAACTAAAACTCTATTTTATTTTATTTTATTTAAATAGCATAAAGTTTGTTCATTTAAGAAGCCATAAATGTATTCCTTGATATGGTGGAAAAGTTTTCGGTGTGAGAAAAATTAATGGGTGAGATTAACAGTTTACCGTTTAAGTTAGTGATGGAATAAAAAGTAGTTTGAAATCCGAAATTAGTTGAATATTTAATATGATGTGATTAAATTCTTTATATAGAATGAGCGTTTAAAGTCGTTAGTATGTGATTCGACGTCCTGTACGAATTATAGTTTCATTAAATTTAATAGTGATTGGTTAGACATAAAATGTGATTGTGTTTTTCGGAAGGAATGAGGGATAACTTGTTATGTGCACCTTCTTTTTCAACAATTGATATAAGGATTTCTTTGCGGGTCTTGTGGACGATCCAAAATGAGGGATTTGACAGGGGCTTTGTTGGGTTCGCCTTTAGTCTGACCTTTGGTAGAAGAAGATATAAGAGTCTTAATGAGACATTGATGTTCTTGGGAAGAGGTGAATTAAATGTCTCCCTAGTGATTAGCAATGCTTTACATGTACATCTTAACTTGAGCCCCTATGTTAGATGATGATGATTCATTCTAGTACTTGGACATTCGAGTATTCTTAAATCATGGGCAATGAGATCTTGGTCGTTGATAATACTATTTATGCTTCCTCTCGCCGGAGATCGTGTAATTCATATTTTTCTTTAGGTTATATAAGGAGTTTGGGGGTTACTATTTTTCTCTTTTCACCATTTATTGAATCTTTGAAAACTTTTCTCCCACGCCTGTAACCTTTAACATCTTAGCTAATATCCTCCCATGATCCATTAACTTTGACGTGCTTGCGCCACCTCTTTTGGTATAACATACAACACGTGAGTCATTGAGTCCATATTTTCAAGGTAACACCCGAGCCTAAATTTTCTCTTCTTTTATACTTGCTAACTTTATTATGGTTTTTGGATAGGAGAACTATGAGTTTTTAGTCTTTTATGTTTCATATTTGGTATTGTTGTAGATGAACTTTGGAGGGGGCACAAAGTTTGTCTTTATTTCTTTCATGTGTTGACATCCTCTTTTGACAGAGACAACTCTCAACTAAGAACCCGAAAAACGACATGAGACAACTCAACTATATGGGTGGATCAAGAGACATTGGGCATTATTTCTGCCTTCATTGGTGAAGGTTGTTGAAACAAGTTTGGTTCTACAACAATTCTTAAAAAACAAAGTGTAAAAGAACAATTTTGTACTTTAACTATTTTCGGAGTGTGCAAAAAATTGGAAACAGATTCTACCTCTAAAGATGTTCATACTTTGAACCAAAGTATAAAAGTCTGTACAAACAAGTCAACTATGATTTATCAAATCAACGTCCTGAACATAAATTATCTAGACAGACTCTGATGAAAGCTCTGACAACAAGTTTATGAAAGTCTCATAATCTAGCACTCCAAAGACTCTGAAGTCTCACCAAAGTTCTGAAGACAGATTCTGATCCATACTCAAGTTTCAATCCACTTGCATACGAAGTGTCTGACTAGAAATATTTGTATCATTATGTCAACGCTGTTTGATGTGACAGAAGTACAAAATCAAATATACTTTTTGTGTAAAATATTGTACTATGTGTCAAAGAAGCCTTATGTGTCCCATCATCTTTACCAACCATCGGCTACAAGCGTCACTCTAGTATTGCACATGAAGTAACTTTCATACAACGAATACTTAGAGGTTATTTCATCTTCACCTCCCAATGGATCTATTTGCTTCATATATAAATAAGTCTTTGAAGATTGAAGAAAAGTATATCAAGACTTACGAACTGAACATTCATCAACGCTTACACTAAGGAAACACATAAAAAAATAAGAAGTGTTTCTTACACTTATACATTTAGAACAAAAACTCATTGAATATTCTTGTTAAGTGTAATACTATGTTTAAACTTGTGTATCTACTTATCTGAAGCATATTGTAAACACAAAACTTCATATTACAACTTTGATGTAATCCTTAAGCGACTAGGTTGGTCAGACTCTTAAGAAGTCAATAACAGGTAGTTATTGAGGTTTAAATCTTCTTAAGCGACCGGGTAGGTCAGGATCTTAAGAAGTCAGTGACCATTAGATTTCTTAAGCAACCAGGCAGGTTAGGCTCTTAAGAAATTAGTGACAGATTGTCATTGCTTTTGTAATCAGTTTGATTATTGAATTAAATCCTTTTCTAAGGCAAAACCACTCAAGTGGATGGACTGGAGGTAATCTTGTTAATGGTGAACTAGGATACAAGTCATTGTGTATTTTATCATTATTTCTATTGTTTTAAACTTCTGTTTTGGGTTGCAAAAAACTATCATACTTGAAGCCCAAATCAAATTCATTTTTCTCGTGTTTCTTGAACCTTCAAAGACTACTTAGACAAAGTCTTTAGTGAAGTGGATTTCTCCTCAAACTAGGGAGTGATTCTTTCTGAAGGGAATGATATTATTTACAACAAGTATAATGGTTGCGTCGTCCATCTCCATGAATGCTTCTTTTCTTTGATATGTGTTTATCTCCCCATCAACGATTTTAAAATAGGCGTTTTAAACCATCTAGTAATTGATCATTAATAACTGCACCCGATGAGCCATGCTTATATCAAAGTCTTTTAGTACTGATGTGAATTCAAGAAAGTTGTGTTGTCTTTGACACTCTTATTATACCTATTTAAGGCCCAACAAAGTTCTAGTGATTAAACTCGGAAATGTTGATCTTCCTTAGGCAGAGTACCAAGATATTTGAGGTTTAATTAGAGAGTGTGAAGAACTTTAAAGACCGGTACTTCCTAGTTAGCCCCGTCACCAAAGTGGCTCATGCAAACATCTATAACAAAGATTTTGAGCCACCTTATTAATGTTCAGACATATTCTTCAAGTTCTTCCACCAAAGTCATTCCTTGGCGAATGATGGGTCTTATGTCTATAAATTGGATGATCTGTCATAAGAAAGAAACATATATGAAAAAGAAATTAGTAGCATTCTTTAAATATTTGGCCTACGTTGACATCGTTGTTCCTTTGTAAACGACGCCAAAGAAACAAAAGAAGTGGTTCATAGAGACGCAATTATTAGTGGAATTTGTTTTGAATGAGAAAAAGTATATCATCTTTAATGATTAACGTATGAGACTTCCACTTTTCTTTGGATCTGCTTAGATAATTATTATTGCTCTATCTTAATTAACTTTGATTTGCAAATAAGATGAAATGCTATAAAAATTAAAAAAAATGTTTGGGACACCTAAACTTGCCCTTCCTACGAGCATTGATTTTGGGGTAAGTTACTAGAGAAATTCAACATATAAGATATTTAGTCGTCCTGACTGCAGTTAACCTTTCCATTTCGACCTAAGATATTTAGTCGGCCTGACAGCAGTTAACCTTTCCATTTCGGCCTAAGTGAAAGTTCAGATTTCTCCATACCGAATCGTGTCTACGGTTAACCTTTTTAATTTTTAATACCACATTTTTCTATATAAAAATTGTCTCTACAATTAATACTCCATTTGTTTTTAATTATAATTTATTTTTAAAAATTAAATTATAAATTATTTTACAATATCAATAAATTACCAATGTTATTTTTTATTATATACTTAAATGCTGATTATTTTTTTCAGTTTTTAAATTTATTTTTCCATTGATAAAAGTGGATTTTAGAAAATTCTTTATAATTTTTTCATACAAAAAATAATTATATTTCTTAATAAAAAATAGTATTATTTGATTTATCATCAAGTCAATTTTTTTAATTTACATTTATGATAAATATAAATTCATCAATACAAATAATGATCTTTCCATAAAAACACTACTAATATTTTTAATTTCATTTATAAAATTCTTTTAGTCTGTATAAATATACTAATTAAATCACATTTGATGTGAAAAAGGATGCATGAAGTATAAATTATTGTACCACTTATATTTTAATGTTGATGGAGTATTTATGATTGTTTGAAATAAGTAATGAAAAAATGAATCAAAAAAGAATTTAAAATTTAGTGAAATTGAAAAAAAGAACAAAGGTTGTCGAGTTTCTTGATAAGTGTCTCTTACAGTAAAAGACATTCATGTTCCTCTCATTCCAACTATGCATCTCTTTCAATAAATCATATACTTACTCAAAAACAAACCTACCATAATTTAATTCTTTTCTAAATATGGCTTCTTTTCTAAATTAACACTCTAAATGTTTTTTTCCCACTAATTAAAACCATTATATGAAATCTCATAAAAATAAATTTTATGTTAAATTCAAATATATATTTAATTTAGTGATGAAAAATTGATAAAAACCAAGTCCAACCAGTTTCTCTCTCTCTCTCTCTCTCTCTCCACAACCTCTTTCCTATCTCTCCAATTATTTTATCTTTGCAAAGACATCAACTCCCAAAACAAAAACCATTCCGGTTTCTTCTTTCACTTCTCTCTCTCTCTTTTGAGATGTGCCTTCTCTTTCCAAAGAGTTCTTCTTCTGTACTATCATCCCTCATGTCATGGTATAATAACATAACACACAACCTCATTTCCTTACCTTAAACCTTGTCCACTTCCTTGTTCTTTTTTGTTACTCTCTCCCTTTTTCTCTACATGGATCTTGGTGTAATGAGTTTAGATGGTTTAGTTAGTTCAGATCCTGACCAGAAATCCAAATGGTACAATGGATCTGGTTTACTCAAACAAGAGAGATCTGGAACAAGTACTGAGGATGAGTTATTAAGAACTTTCAAGCTTGCAAAAACTGATCAACAGCAAAGAAACTCTTCCCTTTTGAGATCTAATGTTACCACTCTTTTCTCTGATGCTCAACACCAACAACAAATGCTTAGTTTCTCAACTCCTAATCCTAAATCAGATTCTTTTTTACTTGACAAAAATGCCCCCACATTGTCTTATGCTTATCATCATCCTAATCATAATCATCATCATAATCCAATGTCTACTTACAACAGAAACACAGGTATACTATACTTCAATGCTTTTGTTTTTTTAAGGATGTTTTATTTTTGTGTTTTTGGATATGGTATCCATTGTGGGGAGCTAAAACTATAAGGTTGTTAAAGGTCTTTTCATGGAAATATTTTTTGAGTGGTCTCATTTTTTTAAGTCATGTCAAGAAAAAAGTAATTTTTTTTAATGTGAAATTCTTATCTTGTTCCTGTTTTAGTGAGATGGGTTCTGGTAAAATTTTGCACAGTATACTAGAGGGTACTAAAGAAGAAAATTTTATGAGATATATAGTATATAGGAACAAGAAAATTTCATTGGTTAAAAATCTGTTCTTTCCTTTTTCTGTATATTGAAAAAGAAAGTCTATGGTTTTGTTCTGATTTTCTTTTTGAGTTGTGAACTGAAGTAACTTTGTGTTGTTGTTTTCCTTTAGGCTATGGTTCTGGAAGCATGCATGGAGGGTTTAATGGTGTTAGAGGACCATTCACACCTTCTCAATGGATGGAACTTGAACATCAAGCTTTGATCTATAAGTATATTACTGCAAATGTTGCTGTGCCTCATCATTTGCTTATTCCTATCAGAAAAGCTCTTGATTCTGCTGGCTTAAGTACCTTCTCATCTGCACTCCTCAGACCTAATGCATGTATGTATTGTATTTGTACCTTTTTCTTGCTTGATTAATGGTAACATAGTTGAATTAGATATGAGTTTATCCAACTTTGTCTCTAGTTTCGTTTTTGAATTTTACATTTGCCGAAGTTCGGGACTATTTGATATATGTAAGAGTTGTGTGAAAGGGTTTGTCTCCTAGAATGCGCAACAAACCACGGTTTGAATCATTCCAAATATGGAAAAGTGATTAGTGTTATGTTTGTTTCTTTGGTTTTGTATGACTTGATGTTGTGTGAGGTGGTGGAGTATGAGATTGGGCTAATTTGTTTGTTGTGTATTGGTTTATTGAAGATGCAATGGGATGGGGAGGATTCCATCTGGGATACTCGAACAACACCGATCCGGAACCAGGAAGGTGTAGACGAACAGATGGAAAGAAATGGCGATGCTCAAGAGATGCCGTTGTTGATCAAAAGTATTGCGAAAGGCATATGAACAGAGGACGCCATCGTTCAAGAAAGCCTGTGGAAGGCCAATCGGGCCAGGCTCTCACCACTGGTGGAACCACAAATACAGCTACTACGAATGTTACTTCTACCATTACTACTCCAAGTAGTTCGTCGAAGCAGATCAATGTCACTGCTTCTCCTTCTTCGTCTATTGTTGTTCCAGGTGGCAACAACGCTACCAACACTCTTTCCTTTGCACATCAGGAGCATTCCAAGAATATGAACAGCCTTATCGGACAAGATAATGCTTCTTCTGCTGTAAACACCATCAACAGGTTAGATAACTATTGTTTTGTAGATTTGTTATCGGTCATTTTTTTAGGCCTCTATGTCCGCCACCGAGTTTGCATCATACCTAGTTATTTGTGTTTCTCTGCAATATAAAAAATTGTGGCTGTTAAAATCTTGGTCATGAGTGCGTAAATCCTAGTTCAACTGACAGAAGCCGATATTGCTAGGTTGGACGCAATCACCAGGGTTCGAACCCTGATACTCATGGTCGTGCGTGTGAGTTTCTAGTTGGTTTATTGTGTTTTAAAGTATTTTGTTGCTTGCAGGATGTTCATGAATAGCAAAGAGAATAACAACAATAGTGAGAGGATACAGGACGGTTCGGCGCTACCGATGCTGCCACCAACCCTTGAGTTGAAACCGAAGGACAATAATTCCTTCATGATTCAAAAACAGCACATTCCTTATGATGAATCTTCAAGGAACAACGAATTCGGGTTTGTCACTTCCGATTCCCTGCTTAACCCTTCACAGAAAACCACTACCTTGCTTGGAACCAGAACCTTTGGTTCATCTTCACAGAACCCTACAAACCGTGACACAGACCCTCAACATTCCCTAAGGCATTTCATCGACGACTTTCCCAAAACTCACTCTGATCATCACAATCCTCATAACCGATCGAGTGGTTTTTCTTGGCCTGAACTCGACATGCAGTCAGATAGAACACAGCTTTCAATCTCAACACCAATGACTGCCTCGGATTTCATGTCGTTCCCTTCCTCAGCCACCAATGAAAAACTCACACTTTCACCTCTTAGACTTTCAAGGGAAATCGACCCTATTCAAATGGGGTTAGGCGTCGGAAATAGTACTCTCAATAACAACGAATCATCAAACCCTAGTACTAACAATCCTACCTCAAGACAAGCTAATTGGATTCCAATAACTTGGGAGAGCTCAATGGGCGGTCCACTCGGCGAAGTACTTCATCTTAGCACCATTGCTTGCAACGCAAGCGATGATCATTACGGCGGAAACAACCTCAACAACAACAATTCGTCGGCTCTAAATCTCATGACGGATGGTTGGGACAATCACAATAGTCCTCCAATGGGATCATCACCAACCGGTGTCCTTCAAAAAACAGCATTCGGATCACTTTCCAATAGTAGCGCTGGAAGTTCTCCAAGAGCCGAAAACAACAAAACAACTCAAGAAGGAGCTAGTTTGTGCAATGATCATCTAGGATCAACTCTTGGTAATAATAACACTTCCTTTACTCCTTAAAGGAAGATCAAAACAATGAAGAACACATGAAGAAGAAGAGAAGAACAAAAAGAACTTTGTTTTTAATATATGATATTATTATATATATGGTTTATTTATGTTGGAATTTGGAAAAAAAAAACATGTTTTTTGTTTTGTTTTATTTTTGTTTTTGTTATTAAAGTTGTTAATTACTTTCTTTACCAATACCACACCAACATGATTTGGATATGTTAGGTGTTTGGTTTGGTATAGTTGACTTTTGTTTATGATGTTTTTCATGTGATGATGTTGGGAGTGATTTGGCAAAGTTTGTTGTTGTATGAAAAAACAGTAAGTGATGTTGGTTGGATTGTGGACTTAGATTTTATTTTTGAGATGGAAAAGTGGGGACTCAGATTTCTGATTTTTTGCATAAGTTGTTGCCACAAATATTAATTTATTTTCAAGAGTTATGCAATTTGTGGGACTCACATGAAAAAAGGGTAATGAAAGTTAATGCAAATGCAACTAACAAACACAGTTTTGTGTTGTCCTTTAATGAAGATAGAGATTTTATGGTTTTTGTTTTCAAGGTTCAATTCTTCTGTCTGAATTTCTTGTTAAATTTCTTTAAAAAATGTTGTTTAATGCATTTGATGAGTTTTGTTAGAATTTATTGTTTTGTTAGAAGGGTAGATTTTGGTAGTTGAATGTGGATTTGGTTTAGAGGGGAAGCTATCTATAATAATAAGATGAATTTATTTGCTATCCCACCTAGAATTTCCACTCCCCAAAATTCTATTAATTCTATTTTGACTATCATATTTGCAATAACTTTTTATTGATTGGATAAAAACAAGTTGACTTTTATACAAGAAAGTGAGAAACTTGGAACAATGAGTTGCAATTTAAACATTTCACACAAATTAGTGCAATTAGTTTTATATAAAAAAAAAGAGAAATTATACATGATTTTAGTATTATTTTTCTGCATGTTAGCATCTGTATATTCCCATCAGCCACATTACAACCTCCAATCTTTATCAAGTCTCTCCACCACAATCATTCTTTATGTTTATTTTCTTGGCCCATCATTAAACCACAATTCTCTGTTGAAACTACCCACATCTTTGATTCCTAATCCACCCTTCATTTTATCTTTACATATAGATGCAAAAATAATGTTTTTAAGGGGATAGATACCATAACACATGCTTAAGCCAAAGGGTTCAATATGCCAAAGGGTTCAATATATTAAACAAGAATCGATAGATTATTTTTAAACAAGATAATAAATGAAAAAGCAATAAACGAATACAGAGAATTGGTAATCCAATTTGGTGCAACCTCACCTACATATGGGGGGCTTCCAACCCAAGAAAGGGAATCCTCTATTTTGAATTAGTAGAATTAGTCTTATAGGAATAGCAATCATATGTTGTTTAATGCCTCTTCCTAATCTTAATGATTTTCTATTTAGGACTCCCCCTAAATATGAAAACCCCTCTCACTTTCTCTCAATCACTAATTCCAAGTGATCACTACAATAATCAAAATGATGATTTTGAATTACAATCCAACTAAACAAATCAAACTATATGCATTAAGATATGAATGAAAGTGCTAAAGTGTTGTACAAACAATAACACAAACAAAGACTCAAAAGATAAACCTTAACACAAGGAATCTTCAATACTTGCATACCTCAAAAGTTAGGTTTGAGTCTCCTTAAATAGCAATGCAAACTCTGAGATTTTCCAATGAGCATTATATCACATCCAGAATTGTAGGATATTCTATTATGATTTGTTTTTCAAATATCCTCCAAAAAGATTTAATTTGATTCAAATTTAAATCTCCATTTAAATTGATTTGATCACGTTCAATTTAATCAAACAAATATACATAAATGCATTGCTAAAATATAACAACAAATCTGATTGAGATCCAATCAAAAAATCATGCTTTAAACAACTACAACATTGCCCTGTTGACAAGAGGCAGATGTTGCACACATGCTGGAACATCAGGTCCCAGATGTGTCATTTCTTCACCAAAACATCTCGCGCACTCAATGTTGTTTTTCATAATGCAAAAAATCCAAAAGGAACAACGATTTCCCCCCTTTGGAAAATTTTAGCAAAATAACTCTACCACAAGTTACAAGATGAACAATACTCACTAAGCATCAAAGCACACCACAAGAAAACACACAAAGCAAACAACAACAACAACAACAACAAAAGTAACACAGTCAGAATACATAAACTGTGGTTTCTAAATCAAAACAAATAATGCTTCACAATAGCCAGACACAGACAATCAGCCATGCAAGCATACAAAGTCAGTAGTTATTATCCAGGCCAATCAACACACTTCACTACTTCTGCACATCAAGCATCAGAACATCAGAGTTTATACATAATCAATAGATCAACTCACACATGTTCAAAGACCAGATGTCAGGCTAGATGCTACAACATGTGAGCACACATCAGAATTAACATACATGAATACGCAACACATACACCTTGCAACACATAAGCTAAACAATGTTCCACAAACATGTTAGTAGTTAGGTTACTCATCAAGCACACCACTACTCCCCCTTTTTGACACAATTTGGCAAAGGTATACAAAGAAATGAAAACCAGATAATTATTGTCAAATCTAAAGGAAATCATAACAGATCCAAGATTGCTAAGGAGTTATTACAGATCCACCAACAAAACAAAGAACATACAATCATACTTAAACAGAAACACCTGGAAAAGTCAATCTTCAAACTTGATCTCTAGACCAAACACATGTAACCCAATCTTCATCAACATCTGTGTAAGAATCATGTGTTTAAACATGTCTCTTATTCAAATACTTAATCTTTGTTACAAAATTATTTCCAGTAATAGTTGGTCCAACAGCTGGTCCAAAAGTGTCCCCACCTTGGATTCATTATTTTCTATATCCTTCTTCTTTGACTATTGAGCCCTAACCTTCTTCCCAAACTTGTCTTCCAACATATTAATCTCCTTAGCTTTAGATTTTCCAGATGATTGACTCATTTTTTTACACAATGGAACAACTTGAGAGAAAGGAGAGAGAACAAATTTCTAAGAACAATAGAGAAGGAGAGCATTCTTGCCTGTAATGATGGACTAATTATAAAGCTACTTAGCAATCAGACTTAATTGACGTGCAACATTGGTCTTAAGAGAGAGTAAAGGTATTCTTGCACCCCTCCCATGAATTGATTGCTACAAATTCTCACATATGCAAATACTAATGGTACTCCTTAGTTTTTCAAATCGAGTTTCATCTAAAGCATTCGTGAATATGTCAGCCAACTATTTTTCAATTTCTATATGCTCAAGATTTACGATTTTATCTTCTACAAGCTCCCTTATGAAATGATGACGTTTTTAATGTGATTGGTTTAATGTTTTAAAATAGATTCTTTGAAATATTTATACCACTCAGGTTGTCATAGAATAATGTCATGACATTAGGGATGGCAACGGGGTGGGGAGGAGGCGGGTTTTGCTACATAAAGAATGTTTTAATTTATTCCACCTCTTTTATAAATCCATTAATATTTCATACCAAGATCTTAGGGCTTGCTTTGAACCATAAAGAACTTTATTTAACTTATACACATGATCTAGAAAACTAGGATCAACAAAGTCCTTTGGTTGCTCAACATAAACTTCCTCATTTAGATAACCATTCAAAAAGGAACTTTTGGCACACACAAGGGATAAATGATATTGAATTGAGGATAGCTATTGAAATTTTGTTCTTCCTCTAGAAATATGTCAAAAAGAATGTTCCAGACAATGTGCATGATAACACAAATGCAGTAACAATTAAAACTCAGATAGGATAATTTGGTCTATAGGAAATTGAACACAAGAAAATTGAACTATGTCTAGAGGAAATTCACTATTCATAGTAAAATTACAATTTGGTCTTAAACAAAATCTTCTAGGTCAATTTCATTTTTATTAATACTACCCATGAATTTATATTTAGGACTCCCCCTAAATATGAGACACTCATTTTCTCTCAACAACTATTGTAAGAACAAGATTTGGTTCTATATCTAGCCTTATGTTTTGATGATAGCAATACATAGACTCTTAGAGAATAATTTTACTCTCTAATAATTTTGTTTAGTGTGCAGATACTAGATACAAGTTCTGACTCTGGTTGAATAATGTGTGACGTCATCAGATTCTGAACCTAGTGCCCTTTGACTCTGAGATGTATGTTTTTACAAGATAATCAAACTCTGGACTCTGTACTCAATGCTTCTGATTTCTACTCATCCAAAGCTTTATTACTCTGAAGCTTCTGACGTTGATATGCTCTGGAACCATGCGTTCAAACAACTATAAACTGTGTCATCAGACTCTGAAGACCAAGTTTTTTAATATTCTCTCTACCAGACTCTTACTCTTTTTTTATGCATGCTTCATCACCTCTCTGTTAGAATCCTTTGGATGTTAAAGATAAGATCAAATAAAGTTTTACGTGAGAAAATAGTACACAGTGCAATATCAAACATTCCTTCCACTACACTGATTTTATAGGCTAAGGGTTGTACTATTGTACCGTTTTGTCTGCCATTTTCACGAATCAATATGCAAGGATACAACTGCATTTTGGTATTCCAATTCTACCCTCCTACGGGTCTCTTCATTGCCTATATAAAGAAGAATTGGAAGAATGGAACAGTGCTTCACTCTAAGAGATTATCATATACGTGAGCGGTGCATTTTGTGAAATATTCCGAGAGACAATAAACACCCAGACAACAAACTTTTGTTCATACTCTTCATAGAATATATTTTTGTGTGATACACTTGTTATTAATTTTTGTATTATGCTTTCTTAGAAGCATTTTGTAAACACAGTTTGTATCTCAATCCCTGTAATTGTATTTCTTTAAGTAACTGGGGTTTAGTCAGAATTACTCAAAAAGACATTGACAGTTAGTATTTGTGTTATAATCAAGTTTGATTATAGTGGATTAAGTCCTT